CAGCAAGCACAGGATTAATACTCATTCTAAAATTCTGAAATAAAATATTTTCTAATTGTTTAAATTTATATAAATCTCATCTATATTAAATGTTTACCTCCTTTTTTATCTTTTGTTTTTTAAACTGTAATAGCATTTATAAAATGTAAGAGAAAAACAAAACAAACCCCAACCACGAAAATACCTCAGATCAAAAACACACAGAGGTCTCAGTGTTCCCTTATTTATTGATAAGTTTTGACTTTTCTAATCACAAAAGTCAGTCTTTTCTTTCTAAACATTTTTTTAACTGATGTTCACTTTTCAGCCTGACATTACCTTTATGTTTTCTTTTGAGATTTTACTTTCTAAGTACCTTCTAAATCATTTACCACACTTCACCCAAATCACCTCCATACTCTTCCTGGGACACAGTTACCTCTCTGAAAGTGGTCACTTAAAATTTCTGCCCCATAGCCACCTAGATTTTGTGGAATGTGCTGCATACTTTCATATTCTCCCTAGGCCTTAGATATAACTTAGATTATAAACCCAAGGCAGAATTTATGCTGAGCAATTCAGTTTTATTCAACATATTTTACATAATCAAGCTTGACTCTTTTTTTAAGAAGTAATTGGAATCTGGTTTAGGTTTTTCTTTCTCATGTTCTTCCTACAATCTTTCTAACTTTGGAACTGTTAGTCTATCCTTAAACTGAAAAAAATATATAAAATGATACAGAATGGTCCATAAAATTCATGGGAAAAGATTTACCCATTAGATGTAAAATGCAAGAGTAAAAAGAAATATTTTGTGGTATACAACATCTAGAATAGTACTGTGTACAGCAAAGACTTTTGACGATAGCAAGCTGAAATGCAGCTTGAAGACTTTATCACAGGCCAGTCAGTGTATGCCAGGAGGAGTTCTTACTGCCACCGAATACTCTGGCAGCAAGGAACCAACACTAAGCATCTCCTACTGTAAAGGATACACAAGTACAACAAACATTTTAAATTACATGTTAAGGCTTCATCTAGGGCAGTGTTTTTCAAATTGCAGTTATGCATTTTAATCTATTAGTGGGCCCCAAATCATTTAGTCAGCCCACACCAGGAAAGGAAGAGTGAGAGAAGGAACAGCCACAGAATGTGAAATGTCAGGGTGCATCGCAAGAAGTAAAGGTGTTACTTCATGACCTTTGTTCTGTATACTGGGGGTAACAGAATATGTATTTTGGGGGGGGGGAGTGAGAATACACTGATGTGGGAGACAAACAAAAGTGGGAAAGGATAAAGCGATGAAACTGTTAACACTTACCAAATGATTGCTCTGCTAAAGAAAATCTTCTATTGACTAGGACAGTGGTTGGCAAACTCATTAGTCAACAGAGCCAAATATTATATCAACAGTACGATTAAAATTTCTTTGGAGAGCCAAATTTTTAAAACTTAAGCTTCTTCTAACGCCACTTCTTCAAAATAGACTCCCCCAGGCCGCGATGTTTTGTGGAAGAGCCACACTCAAGAGGCCAAAGAGCCACATGTGGCTCGCGAGCCGCAGTTTGCCGACCACGGGACTAGGAGACAGTTCTGAAACCTCCATACATTTATAAAAGCCAGACTTCCCTCTGTGAATAATGAAGCAGCACATTCTTCCTTAACAGCAGACCTACAACAATGCCAGGCAAAGCTCATGGTTGCCCCACTGATGTTTCAGCCTTCACACTTCCAAATCAACCTTCACTCGCCACTACCTTTCAGGAGCATTCAAAGCAGCAGCTCCTGAGAGATAATTATTGGTCCTTGAACAATTACTTCTAGAGAACATATCACAATTTAGAGTTTCAAATTAGACTCTGGTATTCAGAAAAGTAAATTGGAGTATAATGGTCACATTATTCCACTAAAATGGTCACATTTAATAGTCACCTAGTCCATTAAAATGGCCATGGGAAGAGACTAAACACCGAAATAAACAAAGATTAAACACACACACACACACACACACACACACACGAACTGTTTCAAAGATTCAAGGTGTAATTTGTAGCCATTTAATATTGTAGTTAACAGGTAATCACTCTGAAGAGTTGGTATTGAAATTGCCTAACTACTGACCAATCAACCTGCTTTTCTTTACTGGGTCTCTGTTAAGAGTTACTCTGAACACTTGGTTGTTTTAACAGATCTTACTATTTTTGAAGCCACTTAAAAAAACAACAACACACAACACTCTTTGATGTCTAAGGGACCATTTTTATAAATTACAGCTAATATTTATTTTAAGAGGCTCAAGGTGATGGGTATGTCTCAGGATGAATCCACTATAGCTAGTGCATATGCAAGTTCAACACACCCCACCTGATACTACTGCTATAGCTTTTTTCTCTATATAAACTCACATCTGGTGGAAGAGACAGGGAAGGACAAAAGCTGCGTTATAAAGAGGATGTCCCCAGTTGCAGGGTAAAAGGTTTCTTTAATATCTGCTCACAAAGTTTTAATATTCCGTCTGGCTCACCACCTCCTTTTTTTCATTCACTTTGAAACTTGCTGTGGCTTGAGACATCAACCCTTGGCATGATCCCTTGCTAGTTTCATAAAAAGGAAGTTTCAATCTTTGCCCCCTCACACTTCCTCATTAAACGCAAATTCCAAAGACATCAATCTTTGATCAGCACCTACCAGAAAGTTGTGTTGTGCACAAAAGAATGCACCCAGGCAAATTATGGGGTTGGCAGCCTCTTAAGCCTGGAGGCACAAAGACTTGTAGTTCAAACACTAACGACATGACATAGGTTTTAATGAGAGGAGAGCCGAAGAGCCTGTTTGTTTATCCACTCGAATCAGACACCGCTACATTTCAAGTCTGATTATTGCAGAGGATAAAGCTGGACACTCCTAATCACCTTAGATGAAAGATCCCTCTCACTTTCTTCTCTCTCCTACACCAAACCGAGGGCAGAACTACACACCACCTTCAGGCCAGAAGGAACAACATAATAGCTTATTGATCTCTGGTGTGGACCCACCCCCACAAGTCATCAGGAAAGGAGAGCTCAGAGCCGCTAGTTGCAACTCACAAGCAAAAGGCACGCCCTAGGTTTTTCTGGTCACACACAGGCACACACAGCAATGAACACGTCAGCGGTGGACCCAACCTCTCCCCTCCCCAAACAAAAATAACAATCTGTGAATCGAGTCAGGCAGCAATACATTCTGCATCACGCCGGGAAACCATGTCTTTGGCTGTCAATGTTAATGTAAATGCATTCAATTCTTCCCGTGCAAATCCCCGGGTTCCCAAAGTGACCACCCCACAGTGGCTTTCAAGGGAGTGAATACTGGCCCAGGAATGACATGTGGATGGAACTCCATCACCACCACCATCCGTGTGACGTGTGTGTGTATGGCCAGTGGCTCAGACTCTTAAATGGTAACATTTCACTGCGGGATGGTAACTTTCTAACCATTTCCTTCTCAAGAAGTCATGCCCCGCTCCCCCCCAAAAAAGTCCAGGTTAATGAATGAGCTGTGTTCTCTGAAAACACCCGTGTGACCAACATGCTTAACGGAGACGCTCCACCCGGTGAAGCCCGTGGTGGAACTCAAGATTCTCAAGCAATGCATGTTCTTTCCAATGAATTCCTCCGCCCTGGTCCGGACCCCAACAAGCAATCTGCAGCTTGGTTCTCATCCCACATGGCCTCCGGCCTTCTCGGAGCCTCCAGGGAGTACAAAACCCGCAATCCACAGATCGGAATAAAGATACAGTGACCACAGAAGCGGAGCGCGATGGATAAAGGGGCAAAGGAGCCCGGAGTCCGAGCAGATACGTGTTCCCGGAGAGGGGGAAACTGAGGCAGGGGCTGGGAACTCAGTCGGGGCCATCTGCTTCGTGGCTCCGGGGCAGGAGCAGGAAAGGACCCGGGGGTAGGGGCAGGCAGGGCCCCGCAGGCAGCGCTGGGGGGAAAGCGGGGGGCTTGCTTTCCCGCGGAGGGGGCGGCGGAGGGGGCGGTGGGGCCGAGCAGCGGGCATTTCCCGGGAAGAGAACTTCCTAAGCCCGGGGAGGGGTCCGGGGGCGGCGGGGCGTCCTGGCAGCGGCGGGGCGACTTCCCCTGCTGCTCAGTCAGACATCGTGTGTGAGAGTGTGTGTGTGTGTGAGTATGAGTGTGTGTGTATTTGTGTGTGTTAGTGTGTGTGTGTGCGCGTGTGTGTGTGTGAGTATGAGTGTTAGTGTGTGTGTGTATGAGTGTGTGTGTTAGTGTGAGTGTATATGTGTGTGTGCCAGTGTGTGTTAGTATGAGTGTGTGTGTGTATGAGTGTGTGAGTGTGTATGTGAGTGTGTGTGTGTGTGTGTGAGTGTGTGTGTATGAGTGTGTGTGTATTTGTGTGAGTGTGTGTTAGTGTGTGTGTATTTGTGTGTGTGCGCGTGTGTGTATGTGTGTTAGTGTGTGTGTGTATGAGTGTGTGTGTGTTAGTGTGAGTGTATATGTGTGTGTGCCAGTGTGTGTTAGTGTGAGTGTGTGTGTGTTAGTGTGTGTGTATGAGTGTGTGTGTGTATGAGTGTGTGTGTGTATGAGTGTGTGTGTGAGTGTTAGTGTGATTGTATATGTGAGTGTGTGTGCCGGTGTGTGTTAGTGTGTTAGTGTGTGTGTATGAGTGTGTGTGTATGAGTGTGTGTGTGTGAATGTATGTGTGTATGAGTGTGTGTGTGTGTGTGTGTGTGTGTGTGTGTGGATTGTGCAAGGGGCCCTCCAGCCCAAGTCGGAGAGTCCGCCCGCCACCTCCCCGGCTCCATCGGGGCTCCCGGACCCCCAGGCCCCTCTCCAGCCGCCGAGGGTCCGGGGGTGCGGGGGGCGCAGGGCGGGTGGATGGAGGCTCTTCGGCGGGCCCCCTCCCATGCCTCCACCCCGGCCGGGTCTTTGTCCCGCCGGCACCGCAGCCTCCCCCGCTTCCCCCGGAGCAGAGCCCCGTCCCGGAGGCCTCGGGGCCGGGGCCGGGGCGCGGACACTCACCGGACACCCCGGCGAGGAGCAGCAGGAGCCACGCACACCGCCCCCGCGGCCGACACTCTTTTGTGCTCCGGCGACGGGCCATCCCCGCGGCAGATGGAGGGAGCGAGGAGATGGAGGAGGAGGAGGGGAGGCGGGAGGGGAGGAGCCGGGGCCAGACGCCGCCGCCGAGCCCCCGGCTGCTCCCTGCGCTCCCCGCGGCGGCGGCGGGAGGAGGGGAGGGGCCGCCGCCGCCTCCCTCCCTCCGCCCGCCCGCCCCTCCCTCCGCCGCTCCCCCCGCTCCCACCCCTGGCGGCGGCGGCCAGAGAAACAACCCTCCGCCGGGCGCCCTCCGCGGGGCCGAGGCGGGCAGCGCGCGCGGGCGCCAGGCGAGGGGGCGGCGGGCGCGCGGCTCGGGCCTCGCGCCTCCCAGGCTGGCACCGCCACCCGCCAGACGGAACGCGAGCCGCCGCCGCCGCCGCCGCCGCCGCCGCGCGCATCCGTGCGATCGGCGATCCCCCGGCCCGCCTGCCTGGGCGCCCGCCCCGCGCACCGCCCGGCCCCGCCTCCCCACAGTTCCGGGCGGGCTTCCCGGCGGCTGCAGCCGGGAGCCAGGCGGTGCCAATGGATGGCCGAGCGCGCGAACGCCGGCCGCGGCTCCCCCGGGATCCCGCGTGGGGCGGGCTGCGGAGCGGAGCGGAGCGGCGGGCAGTCCCGGCCCCGCGATGCCCGCGCTGGGGGGCTGGGGAGCCAGTGGGGGGCCGAGGCGGGCGGCGGACAAGGGGAGAGTGGGGGGGGGGGGTGGCGGGGAAGAGGGTCAGAGCCTGGGAACTTGGGAGTTTGCTCTTTCCTCCCCCTGCGCCTCGCTCGGGGTCGCGCGGGGCTCGGGACGGGGGGCTCAGGGCGCGGGTTAGCGGGCCGTACGGCCGCGGGGAGCTGGGGCTGCACCCCGCGCTCGCGGTGCCCCGGTCGGTCGGTCGGGCGGGCGCGGGCTGGAGTGCGGAGCCTTTCCGTCTGGCGTGGACCCCGCGGGGGCGGGCGGTGATGCTGGGCTGGAGGTGAAGCCGAAGGCATGCGGGGTTCATCCAACATCTCCTAATTTCCCGGGATCCCAACCAAGTGTGACCCCTCCTCCCCTGGTACCTCCTTTGCACTTATTATATTTGCACGTGTAGTGGTGACCTCCCGACAGGTATTTTTAAAGAGTTTGTCTCCTCTTCCCACCTCCCTTCCTGGATTTATCCCGCGCTCTTGCACCTCTCCTTGATGCACTGGAGACCTACCATGCACTATGCCGTCCTGATGACATAGGGTCTCTCTTTAATCCCTAACAACTTTTTGAGATAAATACTAGCATCCACATTTTATAGATAAAAGAAAATGAGGCTCAGGGAGATTACCCCAAATGATGGAGCAGCTAAATTATTTGAAACGGTTTTTTTTTTTTTTTTCCATTCTAAATTCAAGACTGTTTTCCTGATACATGGCATGCTTTGTTAGTGCAATGCTTAGTGATGAATCACAGGTTAAATTAAGACACTTTTTGAATTAGTCCTTCTCTAGCCCCTACCCCAGGGATTTTCAACCTTTTTCATCTCGTGGCACACATAATTACTGAAGTTCTGCAGCATACCAAAAAATACATTTTTTTGCTGATCTGACCAAAAACAAAAATATAATTTGATCCATTTGCATCGGATGGCTATCGTGTTGGCTGTTGTCATTTTTTTTATTTGACAGTCTAAGGCAGTGGTCGGCAAACTCATTAGTCAACAGGGCCAAATATCAACAGTACTACGATTGAAATTTCTTTTGAGAGACAAATTTTTTAAACTTAATCTTCTAATGCCACTACTTCAAAATAGACTCTCCAGGTCGTAGTATTTTGTGGAAGAGCCACATTCAAAGGGCCAAAGAACGGCAGGTGGCTCGCGAGCCACAGTTTGCCGACCAAGAGTCTAAGGGAAGAGAGGTCAGTGTCCCTGACTGAATAGATACTGCATGGTTTAAAAATTCCTGTAGCATGCCAATATGTTCCTTGCCTGTGCCAGGGCACACAGGTTGAAAATTGCTTCCCTACCAACTTGTCCCAGGAAATGGTATTCCAAAAGGTTAAAGAATGTGTCAGCAAACAGTACAAAACCCAGTAATTAAATCTTGTTTCATCTGGGAAAGAACCACCCCCACCCCCAAACAACAATAAAAACTCAGAACTCCCAAAATATTTTCTACTCTCAGGAGCAATTTCTGTGTTCTTCAATCACCTGCGGCCGTATTTCTCTAGTTTTAGGATTCTAAAATGTACTTGCTTCTTTCTTGAGATCTTTTCTAGACGTGTGACTGGCATAAGGGTTGTTTTTGGGACATGCCACACACAAAATGAAAGGAGACTGGACTGCACCTCCTCTCACTGTGTTCCATTCAGGGACCCCTATCCCCAAGACAAGACACCCAGGGTCCTTAGCAGTCCTTTGACCGATTCATTCAAGCCCTTCCCACACCTACACTTGGTGTTTTCTGGGACTTACCAAGTTCTCAAGTGTTTTGGTCTCTTGGCCCCTTTAAAAACACAATTTGGGAGGACTCTAAAGAGCCTTTGTTTATGTGGGTCATCTCTATTGATAGTTAGAAATTAAAACAGAATCTTAGTACATTTGTAAATTTATTTAAAACAAAAAAATGCATTACAAGTTAACTCTGCTTTCCAAAATAAAACAAACAAACAACAACAAAAAAAATAGATGCGTGGCATTGTTTCCAGCTTTGTAAGTCTCCTGATGCCTGGCTTAATAGAAGGCAACTGGATTCTCATATGAGTTCTGCATCCAATCTGTTGCAATATGTTGTTTTGGTTGAAATAAGTGGAGAAAATTCAGGCTCAGACAGATATGTAATTGGCATAAGGAAGATCTTGTACCTCAGCAGGGTTCTCAGACAAAACGTTGAGAACTGTTGATCAAGGTGTCTTTCTTTTTTAAAAAAAAATTTTTATTGAAGGTATGGGGGTGACAATAGTAAAGTTATATATGTATTAAGTGTGCAATTCTACAATACATCATCCATAGACTGTAGTGTATGTTTGCCACCCAAAGTCAAGTCTCCTTCCATCACCATTTATCTGCCCTTTGCCCTCTTTTAACTCCCCAACCCCGTTTCCCTCTGGTAATCACTGGACTGTATTTATGAATTTTTTTCAAGGTTGTTTATCTCCTTCAAAATCCAGGTATTTTGTTTTTCGTTGGAAAGCATCTAATAAATATCCATTCGAATGTATTAACAGCTGAGCAATTCAGTGTTCACCAGCCAAGGATATTTATGTTTCATGAGGGAACGTTTTTATTTATACAAAATCTGATTCTAATGGAATGTCAGACATTGGTAAGCAACACGGTACAGATTAGGTATTCATTATTGTCCTTTTTCTTACCTCATGTGTCTAGCTGAGTACCTATATGTCTACTTCTGGGCTGATGTATCATAAAATAACTCATATGAGAAAGCACTTAGAAATCTATAAAACTATATAAAGTGGTTAGTATTGGTAACAGTGCTATTGCAGTTGGACTGCTGATTTAACGTGACCAGCCCTCTGAGCTGCAACATAGAAAGCATAAAGAATGCTCCTGACCCCGCTGAGCATGGCTCAGTCGTTGAGCTTCCACCTATGAACCAGGAGGTCACTGTTCTGATTCCCGGTCAGGGCACATGCCTGGGTTCTGAGCTTGATCCCTGATGTGGGAGGTACAGGTGGCAGGCGATCAATGATTCTCTGTTGTCATTGATGTTTCTCTCCCTCTCTGAAATCAATAAAAAAATATTTTTAAGAAATGCTCCTGAGACTCGTGTGGTTCTCAATCTGGGTTCCTGGGTCGATAGATGGTTTTCAAGGAGTCTCTTCAGCCTCCTGAAATTATGTGAAAATTTTATGCTCATGTATTTTTATAAGCAGAAGATTCATATTTTCAGCAAATTCCTGAAGGGATGTGTCAACCATTAAAAAAAAGTTTATGAATTCCTAGCCAGTTTGGCTCAGTGTATAGAGCATTAATTAGCCTATGGACTCAAGGGTCCCGGGTTCGATTCTGGTCAAGGGCATGTGCCTGGGTTGTGGGTTTGGTCCCCAGTAGGGAGTGGGCAGGAAGCAGCCAATCAATGATTCCCTCTCATCATTGATGTTTCTATCTCTTCCTCTCCCTTCAACCCTGAAATCAATAAAAAAAAATTATTTTTAAAAAGTTGATGAAAAATGAGGCAACTATTTGTATTTTCCCCAAATAGTTCTCAAACTTCTCAAATACATGTATGGACTATTTCTTTTTTTCTTGACACATTGTGAAAGGGGCCACAATCCTCCACTTTATGGAGACATGCCCTTAAATAATCCATTTGTTTTTATTTTAAACTTATTTTTTCTCCTTGTTTATATAAATGGTTTAATTTTTACCCTTGTCACCAATAAAAAATCCCTTCCTGGTATTGACCCTGCTCCATAGGGCATCATGTGAGAATCTCATTAAAACTGAGGTCAGACTGGGAATTTAAGTCGACCAGTCTGAGCGTCATTTTTTTCTTGAAAAGAAAATTGATGATAGTGGTTTTACTGCTTGGCAAGCTGCCAGGCAAAGCTAAATCTTTTAACTTCCTCTCAAAGGAATACCATGTTTAAACAAGAAAAACAAACTTGAGAAACACAGAAATAATTAAGAGATTTTTTTTTAAAAAAAGACTGAAGTTAAAAATATCTTTGTAAGCAAATTGTAATTTCCATTGGAATGGAGTAATATAGTGTAGCATATGATATTCATCAATCCAGGGGATTTCTATATCAGTTCCCTAGCACATTTATTATGGTTATTATTTATTATGCTCTGTGCTTGGTCAGCATACCCAGCATTGTACCAAGTAGTCAAAGACATAGTCTTGACCTCCATTAAATGGCCCCAATTCAAAACTAATCACATAGATTTAGTTTTGATCTCATAAACTCAACTTTTAATTGCAAAACCCAACTATAGAGCATGTATGAATTTATAGTACTAAAAACATCTCTTGCGGACATGAATTATGTGCACCTACCAAGAAAGAAGGAGATACTCTCAGTGTCTT